CGCATCCTCCCACCGCCCCCGTTGAGAACCAATGGTTTAAAGGATGAATACAGGTCATGGAGGCCAAAAATGATTATCTTTAATCATCAAATATGGGAGAGCAGGGAGGTGCTAGATTCTGGGAACTGATGCCCCACACTGAGTTTGACTGGCATGTTAGGTCTTTCTGAAAAAAGGCAGGAGAAGAAGTGGCTGGAGCCAAAACAAAGAACGAAGATTGATTTAAATCTAGTTCTTTAAAAAATAAGTAACTCACATTGGGTCTTCTTCTTGTAGACTAATATCTCAGACTCCCCAACCTGGTAACCTCCAGACATGTGGACTTCAATTCCCACAATTCTCTGCAATGGCCATGCTGGCTGGGGAATTCTGGGAGTTGAAGTCCACCCATCTTAAAGTGGCCAAAGTTGAGAAACCCTGCTCTAAGAGTTCAAAGAACAGCAGTGCAGCATCCGCTAAAACATTCCTGCATCCCCCCAGAGCATTTATTTTTTGGAAGAGAGGAAGCGATGGGCCTCCCTGAAGGCCCCTTGCATGTCCTCATACTCGGCAAGTCTGCAGGCATCGCTAAGGGTCAGCCAGCGAAAGTCCTGATGCTCCGATGAAAGCTTGATCTCCGTGTCTCTGTCCTTCAGCTCTGCCAGCCAGTAGACAACTGTTTTGGGTTTGCCTTTTACGACGTAATTCAGTTCCTTCTTAAACCCTTCCAGGATGGTGAACTGGGTGGAGGCCAGCCCAGCCTCTTCCTGGGTCTCCCGCAGGGCCGTGCGCAAGTCATCTTCCCCGGGGTCCACGTGGCCTGATGTGAGAAGACAAAGCAGGAGTTTCAAAACGGGGCAATCCTCTCCCTGCCAGGTTCTAGAGCAGTGTTTTTTCAAACTCGGCAACTTTAAGATGGGTAGACTTCAACTCCCAGAATTCCCCAGCCAGCATGCTGGCTAGGGAATTCTGGGAGCCGAAGTCCACCCATCTTAAAAGACATTGAGGTTGAGAAACACTGCTGTAGGTGAAACCCAAC